CGCGCCGGGCGCGCAGAGGGGGCGTGGCGCGGCCCCTCGCGGCGGGGGCGCGCCCCGGACACGTGTGCGCCGGGCCCGGCGGGAGCGGGCGGTGCGGGCCCGGCCCGGGGGGGTCGGTCCGGCCATTCCTCAGCGGGGGAAGGCGCCTCCTCGGCACAGACCCCGCACAACGGAGCGCTGCGGGGGCGGGAAATAGAAATTCCACCGCGTTCCCGTCGGGCCTGTGTAATCAGAAGAAACGAGTTAATTGAGCCTCGTCAAATGCTCCCTAAAGAAGCGTTGCGGCTGTCCCAGCTCCTTCTCTTGCCCAATAGGAGCCCTAAAGATTTAGCATGGATGGAAAGCACCTGGGGGTGTTGGCTGATAGCTGGAAGAACGTGAGTCAGCAGTGAGCCCAGGTGGCTTGGCCAACAGCATCCTGGCCTGTGTCAGGACCAGTGTGGCCAGCAGGACTGGGGCAGTGACTGCCCCCCTCGGGGGTGTTGGCTGATAGCTGGCTGAATGTGAGTCAGCAGTGAGTGCAGGTGGCTTGGCCGACAGCATCCTGGCCTGTGTCAGGACCAGTGTGGCCAGCAGGACACGGGCAGTGACTGCCCTCCCTGGACTGGGCACTGCTGAGGCCCCATCTTGAGGACTGTGTCCAATTTTGGAGTCTTCCTCACTGGTAGAAAGACCTTGAGGTGCTGGAGCGGGTCCAGAGAAGGGCAACGGAGCTGGTGAGGGGACTGGAGCACAAGTCTTGTGAGGAGCAGCTGAGGGAGCTGGGGGTGTTCAGCCTGGAGAAAAGGAGGGGAGACCTTCTCTCTCTCCACAACTCCCTGAAAGGAGGGTGTAGCCAGGAGGGTCTCTTCTCCCAAGGAACAGGTGATGGGACAAGAAGAAATGGCCTCAAGTTGCACCAGGGGACATTTAGGATGGATGTTAGAAAAAATTTCTCCACAGAAAGGGTCACGAGTTCTGGCCACCAGAGCACTTATTCTCAGCTGCTCCAGGCAGGCTCCTGCCAAGGAAACTCTTTTCCTTGGTGCTACTCAGGTCTGGAGCTTTTGCCACACTTTCTAGATAATTATGATAGTGCAAGTGTATGGATATACAAAATAAACTTACTCATTTTCTCTTCTTTCTTACTACAGAATTGTTCTTTACTAGGTTTGTGTTTGTGGTTTCTAGCCATATCAGCTCGAATTAACTTCATGTTTCCTTGTGCTTCTACATTCAGCAGGTGTAAAAGGAGGAATGAGTTCTGGCCATCAGAGCACTTATTCCCTGCTGCTGCAGACAGGCTCTTTTCCTTGGTGCTACTCAGGTCTGGAGCTATTGCCACACTTTCTAGATAATTATGATAGTGCAAGTGTATGGATATACAAAATAAACTTATTCATTTTCTCTTCTTTCTTACTACAGAATTGTTCTTTACCAGGTTTGTGTTTGTGGTTTCTAGCTGTATCAGCTCAAATTAACTTCATGTTTCCTTGTGCTTCTACATTCAGCAGGTGTAAAAGGAGGAATATATTCTTGTAGTTCATACCTGGCTGGTGAAAAAGCTAAAAAAGATCAGAAATAAACCTTCAGTAATGTTAGTTAAGCTGTGAATTAAGAACACTGTAACTGTTAAAAACTGTCTTAGAGTATCAGCGATGCCTGTCTGAGTCTATTGCTCAGTCTCTAATTGATTAAGGTGTTTTTATTATGGTTTTAAGCTTCTTTTTTTTCCTTTTAAGCTTTATGGTCAAGTTTACTGCTGTCAACTTTGTCACAATGGAAATGTATCTAATGTGGTTTGGTTTTTTTTTTTTTTCATCCCTGGAGGGATTTAAAATGCAGGCAGACGTGGTGCTTAGAGATGCAGTTTAGTGGTGGACTCAAGGATCTTAAAGTTCTTTTCCAACCTAAATGGTTCTATGATAATAGTTCTTAGCTGTGCTGTGTCCTCCTGTGTTCAACAGCAGCTGAGTTCTGGCCATCAGAGCACTTATTCCCTGCTGCTGCAGACAGGCTCTTTTCCTTGGTGCTACTCAGGTCTGGAGCTATTGCCACACTTTCTAGATAATTATGATAGTGCAAGTGTATGGATATACAAAATAAACTTATTCATTTTCTCTTCTTTCTTACTACAGAATTGTTCTTTACCAGGTTTGTGTTTGTGGTTTCTAGCTGTATCAGCTCAAATTAACTTCATGTTTCCTTGTGCTTCTACATTCAGCAGGTGTAAAAGGAGGAATATATTCTTGTAGTTCATACCTGGCTGGTGAAAAAGCTAAAAAAGATCAGAAATAAACCTTCAGTAATGTTAGTTAAGCTGTGAATTAAAAACACTGTAACTGTTAAAAACTGTCTTAGAGTATCAGCGATGCCTGTCTGAGTCTATTGCTCAGTCTCTAATTGATTAAGGTGTTTTTATTATGGTTTTAAGCTTCTTTTTTTTCCTTTTAAGCTTTATGGTCAAGTTTACTGCTGTCAACTTTGTCACAATGGAAATGTATCTAATGTGGTTTGGTTTTTTTTTTTTATTTTTTAATCTATCAATGGGGGAAAGCTTGTTTGGTGGTACTGGAGTCTGAGGTCTGTGTAGCCATGGAAACTATATCTTCTTAATTGTAAAAAAGAGGCTGCTTTGATTGTGGGGGTGAGAGAAGGGCAGAGAAGTGTGGGCATATTTTGGTTTGTTGCTTCTGCCCCTTCTACAGGTGCTGGTTAAACAGCAGAGGCTTTCAGTCTCTACGACTGTTCCTTCACCAGCATTAGTTTCTGGGAATAAAGAACCAGAAGGAAAGATGGGATTATTAAACTCTACCATAGTATCTAGGCAAAGTTTTTAAATCTTCATATTAAAACATATTAAACACCTAAGATATTGTATATATTTTCTTAGTATGCGTATACACTTCTGCAGAATACATGTGTGTAGGTATTTAGATCTTAAAATTTAGGAAAAGGCTTTTGAGACTTTTAGCAGTTGGGTCAGCGAGCGTTCCCGACTATCGAATTTTCCCGCTGTAGAAAATAGTGGGTTTGCTAATGTAGTTCCAGTTTGATACACCAACACTTTTTAATTAGCATACATGCTTATTACAGGCATCTGCATATAATTAGATGGAAGTGTAGGCAGCTACTGGCTGGGGTTAATGCATCATAAGCTCTGTTCATGGGCTGTCAAAGCTCCCTGACAGAAGCCATCCCCTGCAGCCCTGGTGTTAAGTAGTTAAATAATGTTCTCTCCTGTTGGGGTACAATTGTTACGGTTAGATGCTGAGAGGAGCTTAAGTACAGCAGTATCTTCTCTTTAAAAGGCCTTTTTTATGGTCTTTCAGGCTGTAAGCAGGTAGCTTGATCTCCTCCTGGTCTGTGCTCCTGGGTTCGGGGTGCTGGAGTTGGGCTGGCAGCGTCCTGGGGAAGCAGATGACAGTGTATTGATGAGATGTAACGTGTGTGTGTGTTTCTCCTCAGCTCAGACAGACCATGACAAAGTTCTGTCAAGAGCATTTGGCTCCGAAGGCCCAGCAGATTGACCAGGAGAATGAATTCAAAGACATGCGGGCAAGTATCTCGTGTGTGTGTTTGGGGTGGCTGGCAGTGAGAGCCTGTCTGGGCTTTGATCTGCACATTAGTCCAGGCAAAGAATCCCGGTCCACACCACAGCAACATGTGCATTAACTTTTCAAACTTGAAAGCCGTCAGGAAAACAATTTTTTCATTTCCTGTTTTATCTTTTCCTAACAACTTTCAGTGACCCGGGGCGGAACCCAGCCAGCATCTGAATAATAGAAAAAAAATAGATTGATAACTGTCTTATTTGGATTCTCATCATGGTGTTTCTGCTCTGCTCTGTTCGGATTCCTTCCCTGATATGTGCTTTGTATTCTCCTGGCTAGAGCCCTTTCTTGGACATCCGAGTTTCCTCCCAGATTTGTTATGAAAATATTGTGTGCAAATGCTGAAGTGTAGAGTTGTGTGACTGTCGAGCTGAAACTCGCCTTCCTAATAAAAACAACAAGTTCAGTGCAATGGGATGGTTTGATTGATGAAAACGAGAGATCTAACTATTGGTTTTCATAAGCTCCCCAAGACTTTAAAAAGCTCAGAACATCTGCTAGGATTTCCCAGAGCTCTGATGTTGACATTTCCAGGGATATATGCACAGCTTTGAAGTTAAGTATATAAATTTAGCCTGGCGCACCAGATGTCAGCCACAGCCATTGAATAATACTTTTTGAAGTCTCTGGAGACTGTTCGCTGATAATTATCTTAGTGCTGGACGCTGAGGCTGTGTGACAACCCTTCCCCTGTGTGTCCCTCGTGAAGCAGCAGCAAAGAGATGTCCCCTCCGACGTACGCGTGGTCCTCGTTGGTGCCATCCTCTGCTCCTGCAGTATCCCATGGCTTCCCTCGTCCTCCGTGGTGGGGGCACAGCTGATGGGTATGTCTCTGTGCCTCCAGTCATGTGGCTGTCACTTGAGCAATGGCATTGCCTGGGTGACAAATCTGGGTAAGAGGCAAACAGAGGAGTTGGAGGAGCCGGGGAGAACAGCTTGTCCTCTGGGAGGTGAACTTTGAAGAGCACGTGTCCAACTATGGATAGCTCAATGATGCCATCCAGTCCCGTGTGTCCTGCCACTTCTGAGAACCTACAGGTTACGTTCTTGGGTGGCCCTTGTGGATTCAGCTCCTTTAGCTTCACAAATTCTCTGTTGTGGTCACCTGCTATAACTTTCCTAGTCCCACCTGCGGGGCAGGCAGCACCTCTGTCTGCCCCAGCTGTAGCATCCCCTTTCTTTAATTTCTCCCAAGGAAGCTTCCTTGGCTTTACTTACCAGTTTCTGGTTTACTAGAAGAATTTTACAGTGCCAGCTAATAGCAGCTCTTCTAGGTGTCTCCTGGGTTTCCGTCATGGATAGCTTATCCTAACCACTGTTTGTGACAACCACAGGCCCAGAGGCTGCCAAAGCACAGGGACAAGCAGAAATTTAGGTCCTAACATCCTAAATAATCTTTAAGTCTAGAAATGCAGATTCTGAAATTAACAGGAGGTTTTAATTTATAAAAAATTGTCCTTAAACTGGGCAATGAGTTAAATGTAGAATGCAGAATTCAACTTGGGTTGTGAATTTTCATAGGACCTCTCCTTGCAGAATTCAACTTGGGTTGTGAATTTTCACTGAATTCAACAGACTGCACGTGCGTGTAGCAAAACTAACATCCCTGGGTCTGTCTGGGTTCTTAGTCCAAACAGTGGAGCTGCTGCTGCTGCAGGAGGAATAGGTATCAGTGTATTTATTTCTGAGATATTACAATAATTAGGAGGAATAAGTATCGGTGTATTTATTTCTGAGATATTACAATAATTAGGTAAATTGAGGTGTCCAGTGAGCTACCTGGGAAGACTTCTTACGCTGATGGGAGTCTGGACTGATTGCTTGTTCTGTGTTTGTAGGAGTTCTGGAAGAAGCTCGGGGAACTGGGAGTTCTGGGGATCACAGCTCCTGGTAAGTCTGTTCCCACCTTTACCTTCAGCTGGGTGATTCTTCAAACAAAACAGAGACTTCTTAAACTCACGCTTTCCAGTTCATAACAAACTCATCTGTGATGTGCCATCAGTTTTGTCTGGAAGTTCTTATCTTCGTGTGTTTTTAAAAACTCAATCGCAACTTTTGTTATTCTTCACTGACTCAGAATCCTTTTTCCTTGTCAGACTTCTGGATGATTACAAAATGCCTTTTACAGCTTAAAAGTGCTGTTCAGAAATGGTTTCTCCAGGTGTCACATACACAACTTGAACATGTTTGTGCTTCTCTGATATGAAGCGTTTGCTGCAGGTTTTGAAGAACGAGAGCTATAGATAAAAGTATCCCAGAACAAACATCCATCTCTAATAGGAGAAGTTAAAGGGTATAAAACATAAAACAACGCTCTGAAAAGCTGTGATAGCTAATGGAGAGCTGACCACATCCAACCAGTCAGAAAAAAAAAAAATCAGGGTAAATCTCATTCAGCCTTGTCCAGGTTAGTTGAAAAGTGTTTTGATTAATGTTATAGATTACTGAGGGAGCCGTGGTCATGCTGAATGCACTAACACGGTGTAATGAGGAGAAGCCCTTAGCGCAGAAAAGCAGCCAATGGGGCCTTTATTTCCCCGTCGTAAAGTCTGTGTTTCTGGATGTGCGTTTGCAAAGGTTCTGCAGAAGCAAGCTGAATAGCAATGCCTCCAGATAATGCCCCTGCGTTTCTTTCAGCGGCGCTGAGTCGCCTTGAAAGAGTCTGTATTTCTGCTTTCTTTCTCTTTACTCTTCCCAATTTACTGCTGCTCCTGTTTTTTCTCACTCTTACCTTCTTTCTTCTTTGATGTTGTGCCTGAGGCTTACAGCAGTTTCCCACACTATAAATAAGCCATCCCCTCATGAGTCCTGTCCTTTTTGATTTCCTCAAAGATTTACCTCTAAAACCCTCCTATGCCCAGAATTTTTTTGCCTTATTTTTGATTGTATAGTTGTGTGCACTCACTTTATTGGCATTGGTTTTCTTGTAGGAGGTGGGGACTGGGGTTTAGGATGTGAAGGTAACATGAAATCTTATCAGGGCGTATGCACAATTAAATGGCATGTTTGGGCACCAGTGGATCAAGCCTATAAAAGGAGCATTTTAAATAACCATACTTTTTATTTTCTTCTCAAAACTAAGAAAACTATGCTGGTTGGGTGTAATTTTCCAGTTATTTTATAAAGAGCTAAGATGTGCAGCAAACGTGGAGCTACCATGGAACAGTGATATAGGCATGTCATATATAAAGAGTAATTTTGGAAGGGAGGCATCATTCTGAATCACCTGGTGATTTGTATGATATGTGGGGCTGTCTGGCAGGATTATTTTCCTGTCCCTCTTGTGGTACAAAGCAACCCTGGGCCAGTACCGCTTCCAGCAGGCGGGGACCTCTCCTCCCTTGAGGCAATAACACCAAACCTGCCCACTCTGTGCACGAATAGAAAACTCTCTTCTTTTGGCATATATGAGAAATTGTTAAAGCCATCTTTTAGGATATTGATAGTAAAACCTTAAACTCTGATTTGTGGTAGAGAGGGGTGATTTCAGAGGCTAAAGAGCCCTGCAGATAAGACAGGAGTCAGAGTGAGTGACAAGGGAGGAAGGCTGTGATTAACACCAGTGGCTGCTGTGTTAATTTGATGAGTTGGGGTCAGTCGGCCCCTTCCAGCCCCGGTTATGAATTCAGCTCTGTGGCCACGCTGAGCACACAAACATTTGCTCTTGCCATCGTTGTTCCTTGCTGACAGCCCTCACAGTGATTAAGAGAAAGTGCTCCCGGATTTATCTCCCCGACTGCTTCCCAGGGTTTATGTCCCTCTCTTTGAGTTCTTCTCTTGGCACTGCAATCACTTGCTGCTTGCCTGTAGAGCAAAGCTTTTCACTGGGATGTGACTGTGTTTGTGTGTATATAAATGTATGTGTAGGTATATATATATATATATATACATGTGTGTGTATTTATGTAGGCTGTTGGCTGCTCAAGGCCATCGTGCATTTCTCAGCCTTCTCTTTTTCCTGCCTCCTCTCTCCCAGTTCCACTGTGTGCCTTTCATCTTTACCACTGGTTTTGGGCTCAGCTCAGGTTTGTATGTATATAAATGTATGTGTAGATATATATATACATGTGTGTGTATTTATGTAGGCTGTTGGCTGCTCAAGGCCATCGTGCATTTCTCAGCCTTCTCTTTTTCCTGCCTCCTCTCTCCCAGTTCCACTGTGTGCCTTTCATCTTTACCACTGGTTTTGGGCTCAGCTCAGCATGCCTAGCGAGACTCACGGTTGTGATGATCGTGCTGCTCACTCCATCCTCTCTTGAAATCCTCAGTCTTGCCACTGGTGAATTACAACAATTATATTTATGGATCATTCTCACCCTGAATTGGCCACCCATCAAAATGCTGCTCTCCTGTGCATTTGTGGGCTTGGAAAAGTCCCCCGTGCCCCACTTTTTGAGCAGCTTGAGGATTGCTTGCTTTTTATGGGGTCCTTATTATCACAGAATCTTCTAGGTTGGAAGGGACCTTAAAGATCATCTTGTCCAACTGTCAACCTAACTGACAAAAATAAACACTCGCACAACAAACAAAAAGCATCACCATCACTAAACCAGACCTCCCAGCACTACATCAACCTGTCTTTTGAACACTTCCAGGGATGGTGCCTCAACCACCTCCCTGGGCAGCGCATTCCAATGGCTGAGAACCCTTTGGGGGAAAAAAATTTTCCTAATATCCAGCCTGAACCTCCCCTGGCGCAACTTGAGGCCATTATCACAAACGTGCGTCCATTTTACAGACTTTGCCTGTGTTCCCTTGTCCTCTCACCTAATACAGGCTGCCCCTTTGCGATTTAATCTTTGTGATCATATTAAGGTTGTGCTTCAAGATGGTTGACAAGAAGGACTTGCTATTTACGAGTGTCAGTAGCACGTTTTAGACGTATCCTTATGTGTGTTATATGTATAAAACTATGCTATACAAGCAAATAATTGATTATGCTGAAGAAATTCAGGGAGGATGGGGAAAGCTGGAGGTCCCCAGCTCAGAGCCAGTGTCGGTCAAAACCAGACTCTCTTGCAGGTGTCTGGGATCTCATTCAAGGCTGAGCCTGGCCCTGGGCCGTGTGTGTGATGTGCTCCACGGTGGTTAACAGGAGGTCTCTCTTCTCCTTTCAGCGGAATACGGCGGATCTGCTTTGGGGTATCTGGACCACGTGCTGGTGATGGAGGAGATTTCTCGTGCGTCGGCGTCCGTTGGGCTCAGTTACGGCGCCCACTCAAACCTTTGTATCAACCAGCTGGTGCGGAACGGCAACGAGGCCCAGAAGAAGAAATACTTGCCCAAGGTGTGTGAGGGGGAAACTGGAAAGCATTTGGGGTTTGGCTGCATGAAAGGATGAGTGTCTTTCATGGTGTGCAGCATTTTAAGCTGATTTCAGTGACTAAAACTTTAGGAAGTATTGTACTTGCCAAACTTGCCCTTCCCTAGCTTGCTAATTTTTGTCCTGTTAATTCATACAGATCCGTATCTGTAAGCAGCACAGTCCAGCTCTCTGGAGCTGTGCTCCTGAATGAGCCTTTGAGGTGATGCTCTGCCAACTTCCCAAATGGTTTTGAGATTTCTGAATGACAGTCACTGCTTCCCTGTTCTACGTTCTCCATTTCTCACTGCCCAAATGCATGGTCTCCCTATGCTAATTAATTGCACGTGAAACTTCTTCATCCTAGGAATAAGATACATGTTTAAGACCCCCACTGTGTGCTGGGGTCTTAAAGAGCATCCTTGGAAGCTGGTTTTGAAGTAACTGGAGTGAGGACATGGGTGTTGCTCTGCTGTGAGCTAACAGATTGCCACTCTTTGCTTCTAGGAGACTAGGGTATTGATGTTTGTGACTCAAAAGCACAGTTTTCAGTATTTAAATGCGGGGAAAAACTTAACTAGTCCATTGAATACCAGCTACCGAAGTTATCAGTGAAATTATCAGCACAAGGAACTCGATTTAAACCACATGCAAAGTACAGTGTCACTTCCTCAAAGTGTTGTGCAGCCTGCTAATGTGTGACCCTGAATTGTCCTCATTGCTGCTCAGGTGTATTTTAGTGCCCTCATTCACTTCCTTTCAGGGAGATGTATTTTAGTTGTTACTTGTCTTGGTTCCTGACAGAGGACCTAGTGGTACTTAACTAGTTTTGAGCAGATCACGAAGACTTCTATAGAAACACACTGATGGACTGAATTGGTTGAACATGTATCTTAAGCATTGAGTCTGTTTTAAAAAAAAATAAAAGATCAAAAGGAGGAGAAGACAGATAAAGTACACAGGAAGAAAAAAAAAAAAAGGAAGCAGAAAAGGGCAGGATGAAAGGAAGAGTGCAGAGGAAGCAGCAGCTACGCCAGAGCCTGGTAGGAGCAGGCACAGGAGGAGGGTGTCCATCTGCTGTTGGGGTGTGGGTGGGGGGGACCAGGCTGTGAGAACACTGCAAAGAACTTTGCTATCTCTTTTCATCCCCCTCCTTGGCCTTTTGTGTTTAACAGCTCCTGTTTATGTAAAAGGACAGTCGTAAAGCATGGGACGAGGAGGTTGGGAAAGGCAGATGGCTGCCTGCGTGGTTCTTTTGGCACCTTCCTGAAGATGGTGTCCTGTGAGCAGGGCTGTTCTCCTCAGCTTGGGCACAAGTGGTGTCATCCTTCTCATCCCACCGGGACTGGGGTCCATTCCCTGGGCACAGGGGCACAAGGGAGTTCCCTGCAGAGGCTCTGCTGGCAACTACAGCTCTGGTTTGCAGTTCTGCTGCAGGGGAGATGCAGTGCAGGAAAAGAAAAGGGAGGCAGGTTAAGGAGGGAAGAGGAAGAGAAACGATGCTACTGTTCTTCCTCCCTTTCCTACATTTGTTCCTACGTTTGTCTTTTCTTCCAGCTCATCAGTGGGGAACACATTGGAGCCTTAGCAATGAGCGAACCCAATGCTGGGTCTGATGTTGTGTCCATGAAGCTGAAAGCAGATAAGAAAGGTAAAGTCCGTCATGTGCTGCCTGGAGAGAGAGCTGGTGTAAATAACATCTCCTGTAAATTGAGATTAACCTCCCCAACACCACTGGGATGCGGTGCTTAGTCTTGGATATACCAGGCCACGTTTGCAGGAGATTCAGCTGCGCTGCTTCCCAGGAGATTCAACGTGTGATAAAGGCAGGTAGTGGTGGTTGAAGGTCTGAGAGTGGAATCCCACCTTCAGAGGGTAGATGGTTGAAGGTCTAAAAGTGGGCTTCTGATTGTGGTGGTGGAGGCTGGTGGTTTGATGGAACTGGTGGTAGGTGCTTTAGTTTGTCAGGCATTTGTTAAACTGTCTTTGGACTCCAGAAATTAAGGAAATTGAGTAGTCTTCAACTTGGGAAGGTTTTGTGTGCAGGGGTCTTAAAGAGCATCCTTGGAAGCTTGTTTTGAAGTAACCAGAGTGAGGATATGGGTGTTGCTCTGCTGTGAGCTAACAGATTGCCACTCTTTGCTTCTAGGAGACTACTTTGTTTTGAACGGGAACAAATTTTGGATCACCAATGGGCCAGATGCAGATGTTCTCATCGTTTATGCTAAAACTGACATTAATGCTGTTCCAGCCTCCCGGGGTATAACTGCATTCATTGTGGAGAAGGTAGGTTTAATATTTCTTACAAGCTTATTGTAGCGTGGTTTTAAAGTTAACTCCTTCACCCTAACTGGCTCATTTAGAAGCTAGCTAGTTTTCTTTCTATAACTGTTAGCCCCTTGCTCAGAGAAAAACTTTCTACCTGAATTTTATAAACCCGTGAGATTTGTGCTCTTCCCCAGCAACAAACTCCTGGGTGCTGGGATCCAAGCAAGTAACAGTCTTTAGAGCTAGAAATGTGGGGAAAACGGACAAAATGCTAATATAAAAGTGCTTGCTTGTTGCCAAAAAATTGTCAGAGATATAGGAGGTCTTGTAAATATGTCCTACTATGCCATTGTGTAGGTTTTTTTAAGCCAAGACATCCCCATTTTCTTGCACTGTCCCTCTGCGATCCTGATTTCACAGGCATCCAGTGATTTTATTCAGTTGGTCAGAATTGAGATATGAAATGTATTTTTACTGTCTGACTGCAGGGAATGCCAGGTTTCAGCACAGCCCAGAAGCTCGACAAGCTGGGAATGAGAGGGTCCAACACCTGTGAACTCATCTTTGAAGACTGCAAGATCCCTGGTGAGCTGGGTTCAAACCACTGTTTCCTGTCTTCTAGATCAGATAAATGGGATCACTAATTGCATTTGTGTTCAGACTGTGACCTGGAGGGCTCTGCAGATGGTTATCTGCTCTTTGGCAGCCTCGCAGGGGAGGTGGTGAGACTGGAAAAGTGCAATCCACTGGATTGCAGTGGGTGAGCACATCCCTCCCTGTGTCGCTTCCATTTCACCCTCGTGGACCTGACTCTTAACCACGGCTTCTGCACAGCCTCTGTGAGGCTTCCACACAAACTTATTTCTTTCCATTAGTGCTCCCCATCTTCTATATAAGAGACCTTATTTGCCTTGAAGCTTGGGGTTTTTTTCTCCAAAATCACTGGAGACTGTCGCGCAGACTATCGGTCTGCCTGTAACATTTCTGAGTTCTTTTGGGGTCAGGGCCTGAAAATGGACATCCTTTCCCCCACTAGTTACTGCAGCAGAGGCCACTGTAATGGCCATTTTTCTTACTCCAGAGGCTATTTGTGTTGATAGAAAAATTACAGCCTCTATTATAGCAAGTGGAGGAGATCTCCCACAAACCCTACATGCGTAACTGCAGAGCGAGTGACTCTCCTGCTCCCCGTACGCCGCCAAAAGCTGCTTTGCAGTAAGGGGAAGAGTTTGAGCTGAAATCTGACATTTTCTAACTTTATTGGATCCCCCCCACTCTGAAATCAGAAAGGCCAGTGCTCCAGCCTTCAGATCATCTCCTGGGTAATCATCCGCACAGAACGGCGTGTTCTCATGGCAACAGGATTTCCATTTTCTGATAACTCAGAGGAGCACATCACCGTGGTGCTGAAAGTTCACACACTTTGCACTCTGGCCATTAATGCTGCTTCTGATCTTCTGCCTTGGAAGCTGAACTGGTTTGATACCATTTCATGTGTCTGCAGGATCTTTCTCTCAGATCAAGACATCCTCTAGCACTGCAGTTCCAACCACTTTAAAATCCGTGGCTTTCACTCTCAGCCAAGCTCTACTGGGTGGCTGGTGTTGTTCTCCTAGTAAGTGTCTCCTTCTCTGGAGACATTCCAAACCCCCCTGGACACGTTCCTGTGAAACCTGCTCTGGGTGGACCTGCACTGGCAGGGGGTTGGACTAGATGATCTCCAGAGGTCCCTTCCAACCCCATGGGATTCTGTGATTCTGTGGTCCATGGATCCCTTTGCTCATGTCGTATTGGTAAAAGCTGGTTCAGAGTCCCAATGTTTTATTTTTCTGCTGTGCTATGCAGCCAGCAGGTCTGCTCTCCTCGTGCAGTCAGCTCCCTGCATCCCTACCCATCTCTCTTCCCTGGCCGTGCAGGGAAGTGTTGAGGCTATTCAGTCCTTTTTTAGCTGCGAGATGTCATTATTCATGGACAGCTTTGTCACTTTATTATTACCGATGCTGGTGTTTGTGTTCTGTTCTTCAAACTAATGTCTGCTATTAGTATTTTTCTTCCTCGTCTGTGGGGCTTTTGAGCTTTTTCTCTGAAAGCCAGGCTTCATTCTTCTTCCTCTTTCCAGTTGCAGTATCATGACGATGGCCCTGCAGAGGCTGCACTTCTCCATACGCTACATCAACGTGCCTTTCAATAAGCAGGAGATAATGCAGTCCATGAGCTGCCGCTGAAAAACAGATTATTTATTTCAGGACACTGTCTGCGTGTGTCCAAGTCCTGTCTCATTTTCACTTTGCATATCACACCTCTCAGATCTCCTGTGATCAAAGCCTGGGGTGTATGTCAGTTCCCCTGATCGGTGGATAATCTCTGTCCATCTACAAAGCACAGTTGTTAGGCTTTGAGTTCTCTCCCGATTGTCAGAGTCGAGCCTTGCTGAGATGGGCCTTTTGTTCCTGATTCTTTTTTTCATACCTGTTAACATCAGCACGTGTTTTAGATTGTCCCAAAGTGAAACGGTTTCTTGAGATTTTTTTCTCAGCCCATTATCTGATGCGGCTATTTTCCTGTTCCATTTTCACAGAAATAATACTTGTCTTTTCAAGACGTTTATTTATAACAACTGCAATGTTCTGTTCGGGCCCCCTCACAGGAGGGGGGATAATGACTATTCGTATTCTTCCATCCCAGAAGACTAACAGACCCCACTCCACGGTGTGACCAGTGGTGAGCTTTGACCGTTTGCCTGCACAAGCTTTGGTTCCTGCTCTGGGATTGCCCCGAGAGGTGACCCGGGCACGTCGGACCAGGCTTTGCATTCATTTCAGACACAGACTCAGACGGTGACGCTGTCGGTTTGGGTTAGATACAAACTAATGAGATGGGGAAGGGGCCTCCCAATTTGTCCTCCCAAGCTATGAAGTCTCCTGTTCTTGTTGGTAGAAGTGCTGAGCTGGAAGATCTCTGGAGAGCACCTTACTCTTTAGACAATCAGCAAAAGAATAGCAGTGATTGTAGATGTGCTTTGGAACCCTTTGCTGCCTTTTCCTTTCTGGCTTTGCTTGGATTGAAAAGACATTTCAGTGCAGGGGGTGCACGTACCAAAACTCCGCGCCTGTCTCGCTCATCCTGTGGATGGCTGTGTCTCCAGCCAAAAAGAAAGGTGAACGGGACTGAAAGTTTGAATCCTCCCCCCGGCGAGCACAGGCCCTCAGACAACAGTGTGTCCTAGTTCTGCACGTAAGTAAATCACTTTCCTTTGCTGATTGCAGCTGAAAACGTCCTGGGGACGCTGAGCAAAGGAGTCTACGTTCTGATGAGCGGGTTGGACCTGGAGAGACTGGTGCTGTCCGGTGGGCCACTGGGGTAAGGGCTGGTCATCTTTTATGGGTTGTGTAAGGCTAGAAGGGCCCTTCACGATCACCCTAATCCACCTGGGGTTGCAGCCCCTAGCAGGATGCCTCTTGGATGGAGAACTGCGATACTGGGAGAAGAGGAAGGGCTGGGAGGAGGTGGCTGGGTCGGAGCTGTGGGAAGGAGGGAAGCTGTGGAGGAGGCAGGAGCAGGGAGATCCTGGAGCTGCTGGGTTCTCGTTAGAGCTACTTGAGCAGAGTCCTGCTGGAGGGCACTCAGCTCCATGCTGCCGGCAGCCACCGCTTGCTCTGCAGGTGCTCCACCTTTTCCTTCAGCTCTCCTCACCTCCCCGCTCCTCCTGCAGCCTCTTTCGGTTTGAAAGCATCCATTCCAACTGAGGGAACACCCTCTGAGGGGCAAGGGGTGGAAGAAGCAATGCCAGAAAGACAGTTTGCTCATCTCTGCCTTCAGTGTAGCACAGGCTGCAGCCCGCCGCAGCCTGCTTTTGAAAATATTAGTCTTAAAATAAACATTTCCGGAGATGGAAAATCTGTCTTGGTCCCCGATTGCTTGTGTGTCCCCACAGTGTGGGAGACTCTGGGAATAACCAGCTCGCTTGCCTTACCGATTCCTTAAAATCTGAAACACTCTCCAGACGGTCACACAGAAGGATCACTGGACTGGATGAAGGATTTGTTCTCCAGTTATTCAGTCCTTAAGCTCCCCAGTAATTATTTTTACCCTCTAGTCCTTTTGTCCTCCCAAGTGGTCCCTCTGTACTTATTCTCACGTGGAAAGACCGTCTTCCACAACGCAGAAGGAGGATTTTTCACTCTTCTCATTCATACCTGGGCTTTTTTATGGTGCTGGCTGGTGCTCCTGGAGTTGGTCTCTGGAGATGCATCAGGAAATGCCCTGGCTACAGTGGTGAGAAAGATCTTCACCTCAGTCCCCTGAGTTAGGAAGGTGAGACCTTACCACAAGATGTCCCAAATAAGCAATATGTAGAGCACCGGGGAGGAAAATGGAACCTTCACATTCTCTTCATAGCAATGTGTGAGTGGAGCTAGAGGAAGGCAGCAGCGTGTCATTTTAGGTAGGAGAACCCCTTTGCCTTAAATTGTGCTGCCAAGGTTTAATTATTATTAATTAATAGTTCTATTGTTTTTCTGCATATCTGTGCTTTTCTTAGGCTCATGCAAGCTGTTCTTGACCATGCAATTCCGTACCTACACGTAAGAGGTGCTTCCAAGGTTTAATTATTATTAATTAATAGTCGTATTGTTTTCCTGCCTATCTGTGCTTTTCTTAGGCTCATGCAAGCTGTTCTTGACCATGCAATTCCGTACCTACACGTAAGAGAAGCATTTGGACAGAAAATTGGCCACTTCCAGGTGAGACAGAAGAGGAATTAGAAATTTTTGTTTTTTGTTTTTTTTTCTTGAAAAACATGAAGACAAGGAGCTCTGTCAAGGGTCTTTGCGTGGAGCGTGTACTGGGGCTGCCTGATGGGAGGAGGGGGAAGGGTAGAAATTTTTGTCATCTTGGTTTTTTTCTTGAAAAAGACAAAGACAAGGAGCTCTGTCGAGGGTCTTTGGATGGAGCATGTGCTGGGGCTGCCTGATGGGAGGAGGGGGAAGGGTTTGACACTGACAGAGGGGAGATGGAGCTGAGATGTGGGGAAGAACTTGTTTGGTGTGAGGGTGGTGAGAGCCTGGCCCAGGTTGCCCCGAGAAGCTGTGGCTGCCCCATCCCTGGAGGGGTTCAAGGGCAGGTTGGAGGGGGCTTGGAGCAACCTGCTCTGGTGGGAGGTGTCCCTGCCCAGGGCAGGGGGTGGCACTGGGGGGGCTTTAAGGTCCCTTCCCGCCCAAACCATACTATGATTCTATGATGTGGTGAGAAGATGAAGGGATCTCTGAGCCCATTTACCTGAGGCTGTTGTTTGTGGGTGAGGGGCAGCAGATGGCTCTCATCTGCCCAGTTTCTCTTGGGTTGGGGAAGGGGTGCTCATGGAGGAGATCATCTTCCCCTCACTCCCGCTAACGTCTCTTGCCCCCGTGCCGTGCAGCTGATGCAGGGCAAGATGGCCGACATGTACACGCGGCTGATGGCCTGTCGGCAGTACGTCTACAACGTGGCCAAGGCCTGCGACCGGGGACATTTCAATGCAAAGGTGAGTGAGCTGCCACCAGCACCATGTCTGCCGGGGGACTCCTTTCCTTTTGGTCCCCGAGCAGGGAGGAGGTTCTTTCCTGGCCCTTAAATTTACTTGCTCACAGCCCTCAGTGCTCTCTTTTCCCCCAAAGAAAAAGAAGGCAACAGCTTGAGCAGGTCAGGAGGTGTTTATTGGAAGCTCAAACACAACACCCCGGCTGTTGTACGGGGCTGTAGCCATCATCCCGAGGTGTTGTCACCTCCACACCAGCACTGTCACCACCCCTCTGCCACAGCAGGGGACCGAGTGTTTGGCAGATGGAGCACAGAGCCCTGCATCCCGAATCAAATCACGTTGGTCCCCTGTGGGTATGATGTGTGTTTGTGAAAGACGAGCTCCCCTGGGGCACTCTTTTTCCTTTTTTTTTTTCCTTTTTTTTTTTCTTTTTTTTTCTCTCTCTCTGTTTTTATATATCTGTGGGCTACAAAATGGCAAAGTAATTGGATTCTTAGACCCATTCAAAGCAAAACTTGTGCTTGGTATGGCAAGTTCCAGCAATCTTTGTCCAATTCACTTCAAATTTTCCTGACAAACTGCCCATTTACTTCAAAATCAGCAGGATAAGCCTGAAATGATAAGGGTGTATTGTGGAACTTGGAGATAAAAATATTATTACAAATTATTACTGAAAAACATTTATGATGCCCTAAGTGAAACAATTATTCACATGCCACAATAGAGTAACACAATACCTCCTTGAGCTCTCCTTTGCTCATGTTATCCAGATGTATTTTGGTCCAATATTTGTCCAAAAGAGCAGCGTGGCTGCTTTGCTGCCTGTACCAACCTCCACCACAACTGAATATCCTTTTTTTTCCTCCTTCTTTTTTTTCCTCCTTCTTTTTTTTCCTCCTTCTTTTTTTTCCTCCTTCTTTTTTTTCCTCCTTCTTTTTTTTCCTCCTTCTTTTTTTTCCTCCTTCTTTTTTTTCCTCCTTCTTTTTTTTCCTCCTTCTTTTTTTTCCTCCTTCTTTTTTTTCCTTTTTTTTCCCCCCCTTCCTTTTCCTTTCTTCACGTGGCCTTTGCAGACCTGACCCAAGTGTTCTGCAGTGGCAGAGAGACCACTGCAGCTTCTTTCTTGCTGGGGAACAAATCCCCTGCCTTTACGATCAAGCAGTTGAGGCTTGTGAGCCGGTGTCTGTAGAGATAGAAAGGTCAGAGGACTGGAGACAGGGGCAGGGGACACCTCTCCTGACTCTCACTGTGACTCTCCTTCAGGACTGTGCTGGGGTGATCCTGTACTCGGCGGAGTGTGCTACCCAGGTGGCTCTGGATGGGATTCAGTGTCTGGGTAAGTGTCTGCTCAGCCTTTCCTTGAGCGAGTGCTGGAGAGAAGCAGGGGCAGAGCAAGAGCAGTGATTTCCTTTGATAGGACAAAGGGAAACGGTTTTAAATTGGAAGAAAAAAGATTCAGATTAGATCTCAGGAAGAAATTTTTTACTATGAGGGTGGTGAGAGCCTGGCCCAGGTTGCCCCGAGAAGCTGTGGCTGCCCCATCCCTGGAGGGGTTCAAGGCCAGGCTGGATGGGGCTTGGAGCAACCTGGTGTGGTGGGAGGTGTCCCTGCCCAGGGCAGGGGGTTGGAACTCGATGATCTTTGAGGTCCCTTCCAACCCAAACCATTCTGTGATTCTATGATTCTGTGCTCGCCCCCTCCTCCCCCAGCCCCTGAAATCAGAGCTGGGGAGTGACTCGTGCCTTCCTTCTGGTCGCAGGTGGGAACGGGTACATCAACGACTACCCCATGGGGCGCTTCCTGCGCGATGCCAAGCTCTACGAGATCGGGGCTGGCACCAGTGAGGTGCGCAGACTGGTCATTGGCAGGGCCTTTAATGCCACTTTTAAGTAACGTCCACCAGCAGAGAGGCAGCACCTGAGCACCACGAGGCCTTTGAGGGGCTGGAACGCACAACTCCCTCTTCCTGCTTGTGATTCTGGGGTCGTCGCTTGCGGACTCTTCCGCCTGCTCCGTGAACAGATGCTGCTGGACTGGGCTTTGACAAAATGAATCAGATGGCAGCACGGAAGGCAAAGTGTTTTTTTTTTTTTTTCTCTTCTCGTGATCATCCTGGTTCATCCTGTTCATAACCCATCCTGATTCTCAGTGTCACAGGCTGAGGTTTGCCCAGGGGACATGTCGCCATCCGAGCAGGCTGGTGAGTGGCCGTTGCCAAGCACAGAAAGTCAACACAACCCCCCCAAAAAAAAGGAAAATGAGGGAACAATTTTGTTCTTGTTAAAAACCCATGAGTGCCATTAAATAGGTAGCATTTAGCATGTTACTAGCAGAAGGTGAAATTTCCTATCGTGACCTTCCAAAGGGATTAATAACTCCCATTTTAGGAACGCAACACCAGCCACATCATGGGGGTGGCTGCCATGAACTCTCAAGTATCATCGACACCCAAGCGGTTGTTTTGGGTGATGATCCCTAAAACCTCGTTAAAATCCCACATGTTTCCTGTGCCTGCTTCCTTTCCTACTCCTGCTGCTTCTCGAGATGTTTTGGTGCAGCCCCGAGTCTTTGCCGCGCTGACCGACTGCCTCCCGCTGCGTTACTCATTCTGAGGTGCCACCATCCATCACCCTGGGGACAGTTCAAGCCTCAGACCTGCATTGTGACATCCGTGAGTGAAGCTGGGGAAGGAGGCTGACTTTTGGGGTTGGGGTTATCTGTGGGGTTTCTTCCCTGAAGGTTGTTCTTTTGGCAAAGGCACGTACTCACACTCCACCTCCGGTCGGCGAGAGAAGGCAGAGCTGTTTGAGGGTGTTCTCAGTGCATATTATATACAGCAAATTGAAGTTTTACCTTGCTTTATTAAAGAAATTTGCACATTATCCTTCCAGCCTTAAAACGTGAATCACAAATAAAAATTGGATGTTGTAAATAAGACAGAACAATTAATTAAACAGTTGCCATGTAGGCAACCCTCCAGCGGTTTTAACAAAAAAGAACTGAAAGCTTTGTGTATTTTATTTTTGGTTGTAGTTGATATCTGTCTATATTAGGTGACAGTAGGCATATAGAATTCTAAAATGCCCAGATTGAAGAAAAATTCTCCTCCTTGGGTCACCAGGTAGGACACCAAATATTTTCATTAAAAAGTTATAAAACTTCACTTTAGCCAGAGCTAGTAACAGTTTCTAAAATCATGGTGGCAATGCCTTCTTCCTAAACTTCATGGTTTTTTGGCCGTGGTGGCCGGCTGTCACTCGAAGTGTCCCAGGGTTTAATTTTCCACCTTAATCTCTGGATGGGGGACAGCAGAGGGTGGCCAGAGGTGGCCTGTCAAGAACACCTTGTTGAACCGCCCCCGAAAAAGCTTTGGAAATGAGCCCTGATGCCCAAGTGCAGTGCTCAGAACCCTGAGTGTGTTTCTGTACATTAATGTATGAATTTACTGATGTGACCGGGCATTTCTGTGATAAAATGTGTGGTGTCTTCTCCTGCCCGTGCAGATCACGGACCCTCTGCAGTCACTGCACCCCAACCTGTCCCCGTGAAAGGCCGAGGGCAGGAGGTTTCCAGCAGTAGCTGCAGTTTCTGGGTCCCAGTAAAAGGGCAGAGCTCGCTGGGGAGGCAGTGGGAGCGGTGAGGAGCACAGGCACAGCCTCGCCAGCACCTACTGGAAACTCGAATTTTCCTGGTCTGTTCTTCAGCTCTTTAATCCAGGAATGAATCACTGTGATTTCCCTTGAAGGCTCCGGAAAGAGCAGAGGGACTGAATCACCGGGTTCGACCCATCCCTGGCCAGAGGAGCTTCTCTAACGAGTGTTAGAGCCACATCAGGGTGTTGTGAGAGTCAGGTTGTTAAAAATAGGTGTTCTAAGGTGGAAGGGACCTGCAGATCTTTAAACCCATCCTCTGATATTGGAGGGGTCTATTTTTTAATGCACGTAATAAATAATGCCTTCACTTTCTAGGCAGATCAGCCCCTCGGAGTTAAGGGTGGGATGAATCAATGTCTGACGCTTCACGGGACAGGGCAGAGGGACACATCCATACACCTGAGCCTGGGTTGTGTTAACCAAACCTCCAGCACCTCCTCGGGCTGCCCCTGCGCTGAGCAGGTCTCTCTGGGCTGTGAAAAGCAGGGCTGGGGAGGGCTCTTCGGGGGGAAAAGGGTTTGAAAATCTTTATACAATACCAATAAAATAAAATTTGCCAGGTGGTCTGTGCTCTGGGGGGGAAGTTTCCCAGCAGAGGGTGGGTGCAGACCTTATCTGGTACCCACTGCAGCGCATCCCTGGGTCCCTCCCTTTCTCTTACCAACCTCAGCTTTTTCCCCTAACTCTCATTTTTTTAAAAAAAAACAACAAACCAGAGTGATGTATGTGGGCTGTGCCTCAGGCCTCCTCTGGAGAGCAGCAGAGCTAATGGGGAAAGCTGCCAGGGCTCTGTGCCTCTGGACAAACTCTCCATGGCCTCTGCTCCCTGTCCGTGAGGGGAATGGTCCTGCCTGGGGAGCGATCAGCTGGTGGTGGGGTGGGGATGGACGAGCCCCCCTGGTCCCCTCTGCCAGATGCTGGCCCTGTGTGTGGCCACCCGGCTACCGAGCGGGGAGGGACAGCCTGGGGAGCAGAGGGAATTATCCATGAGGGTGAAGGCAGAGTTTATTTTAGCAGCGTGTATAAAACAGGGTGATTTTTGAATGAGGCAGGTCCGTGAGGAAGCTTATGAATTTGTTGGGAATTTGTTGGGAATCCACCCAGTCTGCCATTGTCCTGGGAAAGCAGGACGGAGAGGCTGCCCCAGCAGTGCCCCACAGCAGGGTGGGTCTGGAGATGCTCCCGAGGGCTCTGTCCTGCAGCAGCTGGGCAGGACTCCCAGCTGAGCGGTTTGGTGATTCCTGGAGAGGAGAAAGCCCAGGCTGGGCTCCTGTGCTGAAGCTGCTGGCCCCTGGGGCATCCCACTCGGAGGGGCTGTTCCCTGCCGGGGGGGATCAGAGCTGCTCTGCAGCTTGTCCCCTGTGGTAGGACTGCGAGAAACCACCATGGACACCCCATGGAAGACCAGCCTGAACATAATCTTCTGAAGGCAGCGTGGCTCTGGCTCGGTTTGATCTCTTACAGGTGAGTTTTGCAGCTGAAAGGCATTCTGCTGACAAACAGCTCCCCTTGGATCCCAGGATGCACTAATCTCAGGATCTCAGCCAGCTGCGGTGGGGTGGGTGTGTGGGACCAAGGTTTCCACCACAAAGAGCAGGTTCTCGAGCTCTTTGGAGCACTGGAAGGGCAGGAGAGTCTGGGTCATGTCCTCCTGCCCAGAGATCCTGCCAAGGATGCTGCAGCTTCTGCTCTCTTCCAGCCCCTCAGCTCACAACCAAGCTGTGATAAATACCAACAGCATTTTGGGAGGAAACCTGTTCTGTGTCCTTGATCGATGCCTTTTTGCTCCTTGAGCCTTCTCTGGAGCAGTTTGCAGGAAAAGCCAGCTTGTCCTGGAAGAGCCGGGCTTGTGCTGAACTGGGGCACTGCCAGAGCTGGTGCTGGAGTGTGTTTGATGCAGAAACTCATGTCAAAAGGAAAGTGGGAGATGTAGGGGAGAAGATGGGCTGAAACATCTCGGGGGTCCTGCCTCGCTCTTCTCAGGCCAGATGGAATCACATCTCCTCCAAGCAGTGCCCAAACCTGGAGTCTAAACACAGCATGAAGGTGGCATTTGCTTTATGAAGATGCCAAGGACTTTTGTTTTAAAATATACCTGGAAGGTAAAAGCTGCTGGGGGGGGGGGTGTTGGCTGCAGTGAGACCAGCTGGGCTTTATATCAGAGATGATTTGCAGAGGGAGCTGTGGTGTGGGGCTGAACCCTGGGTGAGGCAGATCTCACCCATCTCCTCTGCGAGGTCACACCACACCGAGCTGTTTGGGATGTGGGGAAGGGACCTGTGTTGGCACAGCATCCCGGGCAGGGCAGTGGTGGTCCCCACTTCTCCCCAAGGGACTTTAGGGGCTGGTTTCCTCCCCAAAAATCACCTCCCAAGTCCTGCAGGTGCCCACTGGGGCTACCAGGTGGGAAGGCAGGAACTGTCACCCCTGTGTTGGGGCCAGCGGGGAGCGAGTGTCTGGGGGGTGTGTGGCAGAGGATGCGGTTTCTTGCCTGTGGGGCTGGTCGGGGGGAAGGCAGGCTTTGGTAACCCGTGGGGAGGGAGGATGATGTTTCCCTCCTGCGCTGGGCTTTGCTGCGCAATTTCAGTAGTGGGTGACGCAGAACGAAAGTGCCATCGAGTCTGGTTCTCACTGTAGGGGAAGATGTGTGGAGGCCAAGCCCTGCCGTGGTGCCCGAGCATCGTGTGGCACATAGGAACCCCTCTGCTGGGGGGACAGGCTGAGAGAGTTGGGGGGTTCAGCCTGGAGAAGGCTCCAGGGAGACCGTAGAGCCCCTTTCAGTCCCTCAAGGAGCTACAGGAGAGATGGGGAGGGACTCTTGATCAGGAAATGGAGCCATAGGACAAAGAGTAACAGTTTTAAACGGAAAAAGGGAGATTTAGATGAGATCTCAGGAAGAAATTCTTTGCTGTGAGGGTGGTGAGAGCCTGGCCCAGGTTGCCAGAGAAGCTGTGGCTGCCCCATCCCTGGAGGGGTTCAAGGACCCACTGCAGCGCATCCCTGGGTCCCTCCCCTTCTCTTATCAACCTCAGCTTTTTCCCCTAACTCTCATTTTTTAAAAAAAAACCCAAAAACCAAACCAGAGTGATGTATCTGGGCTGTGCCTCAGGCCTCCTCTGGAGAGCAGCAGAGCTAATGGGGAAAGCTGCCAGGGCTCTGTGCCTCCGGACACGCTCTCCACGGCCTCTGCTCCCAGTCCGTGATGGGAATGGTCCTGCCTGGGGAGCAGGGGTTATTTTTGAATGAGGCAGGTCCGCGAGGAAGCTTATGAATTCGTTGGGAATTTGTTGGGAATCCACCAAATCTGCCATGTCCTGGGAAAGCAGGACCAAGAGGCTGCCCCAGCAGTACCCACAGCAGGATGGGTCTGGAGATGCTCCTGGGGGCTCTGTCCTGCAGCAGCTGGGCAGGACTTGGACAAACTCTCCATGGCCTCTGCTCCCTGTCCGTGAGGGGAATGGTCCTGCCTGGGGAGCGATCAGCTGGTGGTGGGGTGGGGATGGACGAGCCCCCCTGGTCCCCTCTGCCAGATGCTGGCCCTGTGTGTGGCCACCCGGCTACCGAGCGGGGAGGGACAGCCTGGGGAGCAGAGGGAATTATCCATGAGGGTGAAGGCAGAGTTTATTTTAGCAGCGTGTATAAAACAGGGTGATTTTTGAATGAGGCAGGTCCGTGAGGAAGCTTATGAATTTGTTGGGAATTTGTTGGGAATCCACCCAGTCTGCCATTGTCCTGGGAAAGCAGGACGGAGAGGCTGCCCCAGCAGTGCCCCACAGCAGGGTGGGTCTGGAGATGCTCCCGAGGGCTCTGTCCTGCAGCAGCTGGGCAGGACTCCCAGCTGAGCGGTTTGGTGATTGCTGGAGAGGAGAAAGCCCAGGCTGGGCTCCTGTGCTGAAGCTGCTGGCCCCTGGGGCATCCCACTCGGAGGGGCTGTTCCCTGCCGGGGGGGATCAGAGCTGCTCTGCAGCAGAAGCTGCTGGCCCCGGGGCATCCCGCTCAGGGGGCTGTTCTCTGCCGGGGGGGATCAGAGCTGCTCTGCAGCTTGTCCCCTGTGGTAGGACTGCGAGAAACCACCATGGACACCCCATGGAAGACCAGCCTGAACATAATCTTCTGAAGGCAGCGTGGCTCTGGCTCGGTTTGATCTCTTACAGGTGAGTTTTGCAGCTGAAAGGCATTCTGCTGAGAAACAGCTCCCCTTGGATCCCAGGATGTGCTAATCTCAGGATCTCAGCCAGCTGTGGTGGGGTGGGTGTGTGGGACCAAGGTTTCCACCACAAAGAGCAGGTTCTCGAGCTCTTTGGAGCACTGGAAGGGCAGGAGAGTCTGGGTCATGTCCTCCTGCCCAGAGATCCTGCCAAGGATGC